ACTTGAACAATGTTTCCGATCCTGCCTTCAAAGTTCTTGAAAGCTGTTACACGAACAGTAGTGTCCAATAGCCAAGTGACGTCATCGCTTTTCACGGTCGCATTATCTTTTATAGCACTTTCGTATTCGTAATAAACAATGCTTATTGACTTTAGTAAGCCCTTTGCAAATACATTCGAGTGCTAAGAGCTAAAGTGCCTACTTGAATTTGTATCAACTATAACAATATGTATTGTGTTCATTGCTTTGCTGTTAGCTTTTGCCATCATGTTTTTTATCTTAGTCGTTTTCTAATTAGTTTTTTTTTAAGGGGGAAAATCATCGAATTACTTTTCCCGCCTGAGTGAGGCAGAAGGGAGTGTCAGACTCTTACTTACTTTCTTTTCTAAGTGTGGGAGAGCCATGCTTCGGCACGAATAAGCCGGCTCGACCGGAGTGATACCACGGCTTCACAGAAAGCTGACGTGAAACAACGCTTGCGTTGTGTTTCATCGTGTGAGTGAGGTTACTGGATGCCCAATTAGCCCCCTCCCTAGTCCTCGTCTACCGAATCCCCGAATCCTCCACAATTCTCAATTCCCAAAAGGCCGGTAACGCACTTGTAATGCCTTGGTGTTTCGTGTGTCCATGGGCGGCGCCGATTGCTTACCATCAGGTGTATCTGTCTGCTCGTTTACCGGCTTATGGTATAAAAGAAACCATGTATACTTTTGCGCACCATTTCTTTAGATAATTCGCCGTGCTATAAGCCTGTGCATCTCAAAATTGCATCATTATTGAACTGGACTAGAGTCATTTATAATTCTGAGTGACTGGGACTGATCTTTGAAACGGAAATTTTCATCAGAACTGTCTTAGTACTTTGAGTGAATAAATCATTGCGTCAACAATCCCAGGTAATAAGATTAATGTCTGTATTTTAAGTGCACTACTCTCAATACTACATTTTGACATTAGCATTATACCTAATTAGAGTAGGTATCCTGACGGATGTAAAGAAAAGCATTTAGTGCTACGGAACAAGCTCTTGGCTTATACACCGGAGGCCCAATTAGCCCCCCCCCCCCTCCCCAATCCCTGAATCCCCAACAATCCGCAAATTTCTAATTACAAAAGGCCGGTAACGCACTTGTAACGCCTCTGGTGTTCTAGGTGTCCATAAGCGACGCCGATTGCTTACCATCAGGTGATCTGTCTGCTCGTTTACCGGCTTATATCATAAAAAACATAATTATGTTGAAGTTGCTTCAATATTGGTTAAGTAATGTTATATATAGTTTTTTTTTTGTCGTTTTAATGACGAATAATGCTTTAAGCAGACATAAAAATTAAGGCAACAAATGAGAATCTTGACAATGAAGTCATAATTTTAACACTAAAAGTTCGCAATGTAGCCATACCATTAAATTAGAATGAATATGTCACAACGATAACAATTTATCGTCGGAAAATAAATATTTTTATTCGAAGCATTTTTTCATTCGAACTTTGTGTTTATTTTTAGTTTCTTTTCAATGTCACGGTTGCTTGTTGAGGAATGAGTGAAAAATTTGTACTGTAGCGTAGTATACCTAGACAGAGGTAGACAAAGGTGTGAATATTAAAACCTTATATCTAACATTCACTTTGCTCTAGTTATCTGATAAAACCCGTGTTATATGTGTATGTTAAGATTCCGTTCACACTTAACTAGATTTAGATAACGAATCCTATCCTCTTTGGCCTCGTTGGTCGAGTGGTCGCAAGTGCGACTGCCGGGCAAGGGGTCTCGGCTTCGTTTCCCGGGTCGGGCAAAGTAATACTGGGTTTAAAAAAATCTCAGTAGTAGCACAGAGTCTGGAATTGTGCCCGGTATATGGCAACAGGCCTATTACATGGGACTCATAACATAAATAGTGAAAAGTGGGTGTTACATTGTACAGTAGCATAATGTCCACCTCAGCCTACCCCTTCGGGGATAAAAGGCGTAATGTTATGTCCTATCTCTATGAGGCAATCGGGTATTATATCGAGGGGTAACGGGCTATTTGGTTTAAGCGACATTTTGAGCGATATTGAGTTATATATATATTCGGAATCAGCGAATTTTTCTCCGTCGATTGATGCCGGTTTCATTAAAATCGGAGCACTTTTTTGGCGTTTCAAACAATTCTATTTTCGTGTTGTTTCCAAAGTGACAGTGTATTAAACGACATGGATTTCGCATTTTTTATTAAATTATGTACTTGAACCATACCATCATATTAATAACCGAGACATAAACCAGTCACCCTATCTCTAATTAATAAGTCAAAATGAGTTAAAGCGTTTTTCCTGTTTCTAATTTTTACTAGCAAGTAACTTGAATCATTTTGACTTCCCACTAATCACACGGTGTGTTGTCGCTTAAAACATTTATCCGTCACCCAAATACGACATGGTTCGTCTCTTAAACACTTCTAGCTGCTTTTATTTTCCACGCAGGGTGCTACTTAAACCAAATAGTCGTTTTCGTTCAGATATTTTGTTTAGTCATAAATCATTTAGCCCTCCTTTTTTTTAAAATGCATGTCGTTTTATACAGATGATAACATTAATAATGGATATTGAAACATTTTGCCAGTATTCATAAAAATATGAATCGGTCTTTAAATCACTAAATTTTAATATGGTACATTTCAATCATGTCATATGATACTATATTTATTTCATCGCCCGGGTGTTAAAAATCGTGATCATCCAACTGGACTATCGTGCGCTGGCGCTTCAGTCACTCCAGAATGCGTCGAAGACAGACGGGACGCGCACTCACCGCCAGTGTTTACGTAAAACGCTCATCGAAATTGAATCCTAAGTACTTTAATTTCAAGATCAACCTCGCGGTCGTCCGAAGACTTTGGTGACAATAGGCTATTGTGGAAGCTGATGACATACAATCTACGGCTGATTTAGCAACAGCTTTCGACGTTAGCATCAAAACAATATTGGTCCATTTACGTCAAATTGGCAAGGTAAAAAAACTTGACAAGTGGGTGTCCCACAAACTCAATGATCGCCAGAGCTAAGTATGCATCGAGCAGTGCCTTGCACTGCTCAACATAGTTGTAGTAGTAGTTAGTTCAGCACCTAAACAATACCCGAAACGAAAACTTACTCCTAGAAAAGTGATGGTCACTGATGGTCTAGCGCCAGTCTGATTCATCACAGGTTCTTACCAAACGGAGTGAGCATTACTGCGGATGTGTAATGTGAAGAACTGAACACAATGATGGAGAAGCTGACACATCTCCAACCAGCACTGGTCAATCGCTCATCTCCATTGCTCCTGCATTACAACGCGCGACCTAAAGCTGCACAACAGATGGTCTCCAAGTTACAAGAACTGGGGTTGGAAGCTCTCCAATATCCACCCTACTCACCAGACTACTTCTTTTCCAGAATTTGAATAACTTCTTCGCGGGAAAAAAATTCATTACCCGAGAGGCAGTACAAAATGCATTTAAAGAATTTGTTGCCACCCGTCCAGCTGATTTGTTTAAGAAGTATTTTGTGGCAGTTTATTGATGCCCAATAAACTGCCACTGCGTTGGCAACGATGCATTGATTACATGGGTGATTACTTCGATAAATACAAATAAAAAATACATGAAAAAAATCGTTTAAATTTTTTCATACAAAACGGCAATTTCAGTAAATAACCCATTAATTTATCTGATTTTGCTGAATAAATAATAATATAATCGTTGTTCCTATGCAGACTGTTATTATTAATCTAAATAAATACTTTGATATTGTGTTGTGTTTATTTATCCGATGTAAGCACCTGAGATTTTCGGTTGTTTCGATATATCCAGGTTGTTTTATCAGCCATTAATCGTCTTAGATGTAAATAAACATAAACATTTAACGATACAATTTCAATGTTATATGTCACATAAGTAAATTAGCCTGTTACTCATTTTAGTCTAAATTGGTAGTTGAGATAAATAGCTTGCTTCTATTTATTTTGGGTTTCGTTACTTCATACTTTTTGGCTTACTCTGTAAATAGAGTGCATCGTCGCTTAATTTTTTTCCCTTGTAGCCAATTGTAGTTATGAAGTCACTTAAATCATTTTTCCTGACTCTAAAAAAGGGCAGATTGTATTAAGCGACATTTATCTTTGTAATTAAAGGTCCGCTTTATTTGGAATTAGCATCAGCAACTAGATATTTTTATTTAAATTTCAATGCAATTTACCCCGTTCAAATATCTGCAGAAGCGTTTTTGTTATGAATTTTTTTTCGAAATTTCAAACTTTAAAAGGCTCTCCTGTAAAGTTGCAAAAATGTCGCTTAAACCAAATAGCCCGTTACCCCTCGATATGCGTAATCTGTAAATAATAATTAATTTCAAAAAGCTCCCACTGCGCATGCATCTTATAGAATGAGCTCTCTGCTAATCTTGATACGATGAATACCATCTTCAAGGAAATATTGAGGGCTTTATGAGATTATGACTGATTGAGATACGACACGATCGTATTAAGCGATCTGCTATCTGCAGAATAAGTAAACAGTTCCTTCAGATAATAATAATATTGTCTCATTTGTTGAAATGTGTTTTGTAAGACATTATCTTATCTTAAACTATATTAATAAGTTTAAGGTGGGCTGGGTACCGAATCATTGCATTTATTAGTATTCCAAAATTGTGTAGCACTATGCTACCTGGATTTGTGCCTGGTTTACAGTAATAGGGTTTTTACCTTAAGAAACAGGTCAATACGGGTAGACAAACCTGTACCTACCTCTCGACTCAGTCGGTACCTGTTTCTCTATAAATGAGAATAAATATAATTGTATTGAAATAGAATATTATACCTGCGCCGGTCGATATCCAACCGTACAGATTTGTCTACCCATACGGACCTGTTTTTTTATGTAAGGACTCTATACTCACACCCTATATTACATGGGAATTTTGAAGTAAGCGACAAGACGGTAAAATCAATGAGGTTTATTTATTTTTAATTGTTACAGATTAATAAAAAATGGAGACTGACAAAATGTCGACGGCGTCGTCAGTGGGGGCCGCGGAGAGACGGCCTCTGTTGCAAGCTCTGGTGATTGAGAGGCGAATACTCTTTGGATGCACATGTTTCATAGGGCTGTGCACCTTTCTTTGGATCGCTGCTGTATGCACTGAAAAATGGGTGCATATAGAAGGTGGAGACGGTAAGATCTGTTTTAGATATTGCTAGTACAACTACTAGATCTAAATTCAACAATTTAGATTTTACAGTTATTACTGAGAAGGATTGAAACTATGTAACTAGAGAATTGTATTGTGAACTTGATTGAAAATGAGTAACCTATGGAGTTTCTACTCGTTCTTCTCCATAGGAATCTACACCTTGGAATGAGCAAATAGATTCACTTTTGAAAAAAAAAAATTTGACGTTCTTAAGTGCCTTTCTGGTCTAATTGAAATAAATGATTTTGACTTTGGTTAATTTATCAAAAAACAAAATAACGTAATACAAAATAAGGATTAATTTAGCTTATCCTAACCTGATATAAAGCACTGTTATAAGTAAGAAGTAGGTATAAAAACCAAAAATATACATAAAAAATTTGCTGTAATAATGTATCGCTGTTCTAAACCTGGAACACACTGCAGGATGATAAGGATGATTACTGAACGTGTAACGAATACATTAGCAGTATGATTGATGAGGATACGGGCAAGAATACATTACTTCCCGGATCGTTAGACAGTAACAAAATAATGTGCTCGCTAAATACTGTGGTATAATTAAATAGATCGGACTAACTTACCTGTGACGTCCGATCCTCAATTGTGTAGGTAGCGTCATCCTCGCTAATTATACTAGTAGTAGGCACTAATCTGGGCACGCTGTCACAATATTTAAAGATGAACACATTCATAAAAAAATATTTATACTCTATGGTCATCTCACTGGCAACATCATTTACTTCAAAGCACCTGCAACTGCAACACAACTCGACCAGGGGTAAAAATAAACATGTTTATTATCCGGGAAGGGTTGGGACCTAGCGAGGATGACGCTACCTACACAATTGAGGATCGGACGTCACAGGTAAGTTAGTCCGATCTATTTAATTGTATAGGTAGCGTCATCCTCGCTAATTATACTAGTAGACGTTCAAAGAAGGAGTTGTGTTGACAAACAACACTGTTTAATCATTGAACATTGTTGCACTTAAACAAGATATATGACATTGTCAATAACATCAATATCTCACGAGTACTATATAGTACTAGTAAAAACTTAAGCAATAATCAAATTACGTTTATAATTTCCCCAAGATGTAAGCCACTAAACCATTATTAGATATAATAGCTACTTATGGTTATGGTATTGTTTTCAATCATTTTTATCAAATAAAAATACTTATAAAATTAAATACATTTTAAAAATAGTATTAAAAATAAACAGAAGCCCAAAGCACGGGTTATCTTAGTTTGGGTTCCTGACTTTCATCATTGTATTGTCAGGTAAACTGCATTAACCCTATGTAGAACCAAAGTGAAGTGAAGAGAAGAAACAAGCTTATGTCAATATTATAAGATTAATATTAAGATCTACATCATTATGTATTGTGATGGAAAAATAATTAAATGTCCTTATTTATTAATTTAATTATTTAGTAAGCATAGCAACAATATTATTATCTTGAAATTCTGGTGTCCACTACACCAACTATAGGTACACCTACTATGTACGTTTTGAACTATAACGTTGTTCAAATTCAGTCTATTGCGAAAATTTAACGTCTTTCAATAGGTTGTTTTCTTCAAAATTATCAGTTTCTTTTTTTTTTTTTTTTGTATATATATTATCTAACTTCTCCATTTTCAGTAGATCTACATTATGATCATGACTCCATACATAGTGATATACAGAGCTAATAAGCTCATGCAATATTAGGATTGTTGGTGGAAAAATGGATTGACTGACCAGGCAGTC